GTGACGTCCTCCACAGGTTTGTGAAGAGCCATTGTGAAGCTCAGTGTGGTCGGCTCTGGGAGGACTGTGACGTCACTCAAAGTGGCCATGCCCTTAATTATGCAAAAGTTTAAGCATTAATATAATTTAAAGGAGTGAGTTGTATAAACGTAAAGTTGTCATGAATGGAGAAATTAGCTATAGAGACCAAAAGGCTGTAAACGTGTATTTCAGCTGTAAACAGACATTTTAATATGGGGCCTTATGGAGACTGAGGTTATTTTAATGCCATGGGGCCAGTGTGGCTCGTGAGATAAGTTCATTAATACAATTTCTAAACAGGTTGCAAAATACCTGGATGCATTTCTTGTTCTCTAAGCACGAGTGTAGCCCACCTTTACTCTCTATCACTGGTTCTCAAACTACGGTGCAAGCTGCCTCGAGTGGTATGGAGAGTCATTGCTAACATATTTCACAATGAAATAAATAAAAACATAAAATATACAACAAATACTACAACATTTCAAATGAAAATACAGCTGAAATGTAATTTATAGTTTCAGTATCAGTCTGCTACGTCAGGCACATAGAGCATCATGTATTCATGATTAGTTCGGATTTAAAATGTGACGGAAGTAAAATAAATGGTTCAAATTCACTGCAATCGTGGCTCCAAAGTGGAAGTATAGGACCCCCTTTCCACCAGATCAGCTCTGGTTCTGTTCAGGACTCAACAACAGTATCATAAACCTGCCTCCTGCGTCTGTAGCTGAACAGGGTCGGCCTACGCTGCTGTGTTTTAACGTTGGTGGTACACAGAGAGGAGAATATTTTGTGAGGTGGTCCACGGTGTAAAGAGTTTGAGAAAGTAAATGGAAGAATATAAACACGGTTTCTGTGTCTTAAGCCTGAAGACAGGTTACATGTTTTTATTTTAAGGTTGCAGCAACTTTGCCAGAACTTCCTCTTTAGAGCTGATGCTGTTCATCCAGAGGGAGGAAGGTTACTTCAAAAAACAAGTTTTGTGCAAGAAAGTCAGTTTTTAAAGGCGGGAATCTCAACAACTGGCCGAACAATGGTTGAGTCATCTGTATCGATCAGCAAACCTGTAAACCCCCACAGATCTATTACAGTATGTGTGCTCTATAGATCGGACATTATAAAGCTGAAGCTTCACTTAGAAACAGCAGGTGAATTTACAGCAGCTGACTGCTTATAATAGATCGTCAGCAGAACCTCTGACCCGCTCTCGCTGTCCTGAAGCGGGCTGTGTGTATATGAATGTGCAGTGTGTAGGCAGCCGGAGCACACAGAAACAGACAGAAGAGCTCTTGTGTTTGTGTGAGTGTGAGTGTGAATGTATAAACTGCGGGTCTATTGTCGTATTATTTATACAGTCAGTGTGGGTGGGCAGCACAGAGCCAGAGGGCAACACATGTTTACACTGACAGAGATGGAGAGAGATCCTCTGCAGCACTATCAAACACTGATCCCTTCTGAATCTAAAGCAGCTGCACTCTCATCGTCCTTAAAAGTTATCGCTCTTATTTTTAATAGATTTTCTACCATCAGTCTGTTGATCGACTAATGGATAACTGGTGGTCAGATTTGTGCTGATTTAAGTTTAATTTAAAGGTATAATCTGTAATTTCTATGTCTCTTACATCAAAGCAATAACAAAAGAGGAAGTATCATGAGGAAAAATGGGAGTTGTTGTCTTCACCACCATTGGCGTCATTGCAGTCAGCTTCTCCTGGTTAGGATTCCTTCAGTGTTCATGGTTCAGGAGGTTTCTACCGGGAGTCC